GTACCTACAATATGATCATTTATGACATCTTCCTGGGTTTCATGTATTACAAATGAAGCTGGCCAAAAACACAAGCAGGAACATCATTATGACAAAACCCAAAATTTAAAAATCAAATCTAGAACACACTTATATGGAAAAGAGATCATCACTTAACAAATACTCAGTTGCATGTCATCTTTACAGTACAAAACTAAATATCATGACACATATCTCGTTCAAATTGCACCAATGACAAGTAAAATTGCAGAGTACGTTCTCATGGATAAAAGTATTACAGTTATTGCTAACCATAAAAAACGTTCATGTCTATATGACTTTAATTCCACAGCTGAATTTCCAGGACTCTACAGTGCACTCTGCTATGACAAGGTGGACTGGGAAGAAGGAAGGCAGGGAAAACCTGAGCTAGCAGTAATGTCACTTCAATAGTGTACCCTCCTTTCCTATGTTCAAATTAATTCTGTGTGTCTGTGGAATAAAGAGAAATGCTGCATGAAGGAGCATTTCATATCGCTGTTCCCATTGTTATGTATTAACTTGTAAAAATATAAAATACCCCACGTTTTAAAGATCCTTACTAATTCCCTTGTTTAATTTTTACCTAAAAATGTAATCACATCATTCATATTTAATATGAACACAAAATCCATAGAAATTACTTTTTACAAATACCTGGGCTAAATTCATAAAACACTGCTCTTCTCATTATTTACATTACAGAAAATACACAGAGCAGAAATTTAATTCTGAAATCATCACATAGCTTTAAACAAAAGCAGAGACGTGTCTCCTTTCAACAAAGTCGACTTTCATTCATGGGTATGTACTGCCACAGCAATACATATCATTACATGTATTACACTGTAAGGCCATAAGCCATTTTAAGCTAGAAAGTACAATAATTAGTTCTATTTTTATATATATTTATACTTCAAATTTGGTTGTCAATGATATTTTTACACCTACAAATGCTCCAAGCCTAATTATCCAAGAGGGCACTGGTTTCGTAACTCCCTTTAAGCTTCACTGCTACTGTATCCCCAAGACAAGACACACATCCACGGGTGTGCATTTGTTAAATTTCACTCATTCTTCCATAAGGACAATAGAACTGGTAATTCTCAAAGGAATCAGGAATCATCAGCAGCAAGGAATTCTATAGATACGTGTCCTTAAAAAATGCCCCAAATATTTTCCAGATGAAAAGTGATTAAGACAGTTTACAAATTCATAAAGATCTTGCAAGAAGTGAGTTAACAGCCACAGAGATCTTGCATGGCTGTTATCAGTTCTGGCTCTCTGGGAATCATGCCTCTACCATTACATCTGTTGTCCATCTCATTCTATGTATTTCACTGTATTTTTTCCATTAAGGGTTCCACCCTCTCCTTTATTCCCCTGCTTCTTCTCCGTGTGCATTTGTTTCCCTCATCTACAGGGACTGAGAACATCATTCCAGTAAGCCAGTGTCCTAATCAGATCTCTCCTTGTTCAGTATCTCCACATGATGTACAAATCTTATATGACACACTGGTTTTGGTACGTCATTTCCTCAGTGTAAATAAAACTCGTCATTTCGAGTTAAAATTAGGGAAGTTTTCTCTCTGTGTGTAGTCATCAACCTTAACCTTAGCTTTGTCAAATGTATTCCATCCTGCTACCATGCACCCTGTGACTTCTCACAGCCCAGTGCTGCCAACCCTTATTCCTTATGGCCCTCCCTGGGGGTTCAGCACACATCAGTAGAAGCTCTGGGGGACACAGAAATGGGAAGCACAGACAATTCCGAAGCAGCTGCAACCTCCTATTCCTCTTATCACTCTCTTCAGCAGGCAGGCTGTCGCTGCTCTTGTTTCCTCAACCCCATCACTGCTGCCACATCAGCCAGTACCTTTAGAGACAGCAGGTCTGTCTGGAAGAGGCTGGACAGCATGAGGAACTGATAGCAGCAGATCTGAGCGGCCTGCATGAACACCAGAAGCAGAAGAAACAGCTGGAGAAGCTCTCTAGGTGGTGTCAGGTCCAGGTTCCCCAAATGCACAGCTCTCGACTGTGCTGATCAGCAGCTCTAAACCTTGTGTCCGTAATAAAATGCACCCTAAGACTTCCACACAGAAGCACAGCCATGGGATTTGGTGTGAGCACATCTGCTCATGCAGTTTTTGGATCATTTGGGAATCGGTTAGAAGTGCTAACAGAAATGAACAAGGCTCTGCATCATGCTCCACACCCAAAACAAAACAACTGACAGAAATAAAGATGAACTACAACATATTTAATCCTGAGAATCAAGTATGCTTTAGGGTTTGATCCCTCCCATGGATGCTACACTTCAGTCAAATCAGGAGCAAGGGAACTGCCGAGAAGATTTTTCAGGAACACCTGATCTATATCCCACAGTTAAATAATTTTTGGCACTATGTTCCCAATTTTGATAACTACCTTTGGCAGCACAGTTTTCTAAAATCTTAACAGTAATTTTACAAACCACATGCAAAAGTAAAAAACCCAAACATGTACAACCTAATTTTTCAATTTCTTCAAGGATAATAAAGGAAAAACGTAAAAATTCTATATGCATAAAAGCTTCATAAGGCACAATGAATAAGGAAATGTTGGAAGGAGAAAAGGGATTTCCCATGGACATTCAATATTATAACTTAGAAATCCAGCTGGTGATTACAACTGGATTATAATGGGCAGTTTTTCATGCATCCTGTTTTGCCTGTAGAAAAGAAACGTTTGCACATTAATCCGTTCAGTGGTGCAGACAGAATACTGTCACTTTTTTCATTTATGAATTTCAAACAAACAGATATGATTTTTGCCTTCTAATACTGAACAGTTTCATCTCAAATTTTAAATGGTGTTACATTTTTAAGTTATGGTGTGAAAGTTGAAAAGTGCTTTTGCACATTGGACTGCTGCCTCCATATTTTGAAATTTCCAGTAAACAACTTGCTCTGCTTTGATTTTCACTGCCAAATTCATACTTCTCAAACATAATACAGTCAACTTTCGTTCATATTCAACTTTTTTTCTGGTTCCCTTTCTACTTACACACTGTGCAAACATTCAGCAATTTTCTGGAAAAGCTAAAAAAAAATAATTAGTATGACTCGATGATTACATGTTTCTTCTGGAAAAATTAGTTTCATTTGAATAATGTAATTTCCCATTTTCAGACTAAGGAAATTATAATTACAAAATGGAATTTAATGAAAATATCTCCCTTGAGCAAAAACATTTTCCCTTTGCATAAAGCTCGATAAAAATATACGAGAGAAAAAAAGGTATTTTCTTATTTTTCCCCCGGCTTCTTACACAAAAAGTCAATTCTGGAAAGTGTTTTATCTATAAATTATCTAGCTTAGCTTTAACTGCATTTCCACTGAAGCCCAAGGAGTACCTCATCAATAGTATCACAGGACACTGTACACCAACATAAAGTTCACCGTCATCAAACAGATGCACTTCCTCTCAGTTCCTTTCTTGATAATCATGGTTACTTCCTCTCACCACTTATCTTGCTGATTCTCATCTGGTTCTCTCTAGCCCCTGAAGTGGTTTAACTGATAAAAGATCAGAGCGAATATCTGAAGAAAAAAGTAAAAGTTTTTCTACCACATCAGTGAGCTGAACTGGCTCAACACAAGATATATCAGATACAGAAATTACTAATATCATTCACAACAGAGGTCATTATGTCTGCAGTTGTCCTGGTATTTTGCACTGCAAATAGTACAATTAGTTGCACTATAAAATAAAACATCATTTGATTTGTCCATAATTCACACCATTTAGTGAGTAATTACAAGGATGGAGATTCCACAGACTCTTTGGGCAACCTGGTCATGAAAACATAGAAAATTAAGTACCCTTCACTAAACAAACAAACAAACAAACAAAAGAACTAAACAGAGAATTTGGAAGGGCTGCACACATTCGATGAAATCTCAGGTACATCTTCAAACACCGATGCAAAGGTATATTACTTTGTTGCAAAAGGGAAATTAAGGGAACTTCATCAGCATAAAGAACACTTTACAGCACAGCTGGGATTCCAGGGTCAGTCTAGGTTTATGTTCCAGATTGAATGCTGTATCTTCAATAGACAAAGTTATCTAAAAATTTGATCAAATCAGATTACCATGAAAAAACACTAAGGTTTCTATATTTAAAACCCTACATACTGTATCATCCAGCTGTGGCAATGCCCAGATCAGTCCTCATTTCCAGTATCATGACTGACTACAGTATTTTATTTTTTATTATCTACTTATGTATTATGTTTATTTTTATTATATTTATTATTATTTATATATTCTATACATTTATATAATATTATTTAAATTTTATTATTTTATTTTTAAATTGAATTCAACACAAGTATAAATTGCACCTCCTCATACTGAACATACTTAATCATCAACGCTCAAAACAATGTTTACCTGACATTAAACCACACAAAGAAGGTAAACAGAAACATGCATGAGCAACATAATATTCAGATATATTTATTCTATTCAGAATAATAATGTATTAACACTTTGTATATTATGTGAAGTTACTATTTCTTGAAAGGAACAAAGGATGACGTAACCTCTCCACAGCTACCCAGTAACAAATACTGACATCATGTGAATTTCTCTAGATTTGATAATCTTTAATAGAGAAAATCCAATGAAAAACAACTCAGCCAAAAGGACATTCTTGTGAGTCACTTCTATTATAAGGCTAAGTTATGACTGAAGCAAAGAGAAAAACAGAGTGTTTTTTCAAAAATAGTTAATTTCTGGCTGGGCAAGATTTAAGTTCCCGTTCTCCTTTAAAAAAAATACTGTAATGTAGGTATGTAAGTTATATATAGTCCAGCTCTCTTCACTTACATGAAGACAGTACATCTCCCAAGAATTTATAAAGCATTATATTAATAAAGTATTATATCACTTGTAAATAAAAAAGAAACCAAAAGATACAGATATAATCAGCCTTACTTCTCCATGTCTTAAAGGTGTGATAGTTCCTCTTGCTACTGCCATTCGGAACAATGTTTCTGTGGCCTGCATCAACAAACACACACACAAATTCGTTACTGAAAAAACAGACAATGCAGCTCATGAAGATTTGTTTCAATTCTTATAACATTTTTTAAATTTTCTGTTACTTTCAAGCACCTATTTTATAACTGAATCCCTCGAGTAAGTAAGTTAGACCAATCTGCACAGCTTAGGCAAAAGTTTATTGCAAGGTGAGACCTGTATCAAGGATTTTGGTCTCAGCAAAAGCAACCACCTAAACAGTGCACAGTCCTCCCCAACACTGCAGCAGTTCCACAAGACTCTTTTTGCAGGTCAGAGACACTCAGCCATACAATGGTCTTCCAGAGGCTACCAGGTAAAAGTGGCATACTGAGGGAAAAATAGCTATATGGTATTTCTCAACTCACGAAGATAATTTTTAAACTCTCAATAATGGTGGCATCACAAAACATAACCCCATCATGTGCAAATGACAGGGAACACGACTTTGGGGAAATCTTTAATTAAGTTAAGCTTTAATTAGGTTGCATACCTTTCTGTGTTAGTTGGTCCATCCTTTCTTTAATCCAGTGGGAAATTAGCATGTACTTCTGACACTATAAATAGATTACTGGCTTAATGCAAACTATAATAGGTTCTGTACCACCATTCTTTCTACAAGATGGTTGCAAAAAGGCATGAAAAAATTCACAGGTTACATAAATTCATGGATTGGCACATCAGAGTACACGTGAACAGATTTGTTTTAAAGACTTGTTTCCATAGCAAACAGTGAAGCCGGTTTCAATTTCAACTGTAACAAAACATGGTTCTAATATCTGGTTCTAATTAAAAAAATACTCCAACATTTAAGGATCTATGCTAAGGAGCAGTTAGCAGGCTGTTTGGAAAAAAAAATACCACATTTAGAAAGTTTATAAATAAAAGCAGTTTGCAGTAGCTGATCATCTTTCTAAATAGTGATTTAAAAAATAAGCAGCTCAATGCTTCCATGACTGCACAACTTGCAGAGTTCCTGCTATACTACCTTGTGACAGCTGTATCTCAACAAACGTAATATCGAAGACATCTCTCGAGATTAATTCCTCAGTCTTCCTAGACACAGATTATGTGGGTTTTACCCTTTTCTAAATAACTTTCTGCAGAAAATAACTTAATAATTAAGACCTTTTAACTACCTTATGTTCCGCCCACATACCTATAAGTGAATGTCTGCACTCCAGAACACTGGGCTGCAATAGCTATTACTTCATTTACAGTCACGAGGATGCAAGGCAATGCCCCACTGAATTCTGTTTCTCAACCCTTTCTTCTCTGAGAGATGAAGTGAACCCCATACAGCCTTTTGTATTTCCCAAAATCGGTTCCTTTCACCAACATTTTTAGGGATGTTTCAACCGAATTGAGCATTCTGTCAATAAAGTTAAGCTGCTTTCATTTCTTTTGAAAACCACTGGTGTGCATGACTTTCTTTTCAATCTACTTGTAAAAGCTCTCCTTTAATATGCTTGTACTCACATCGTTAATGCCAGATGTCAAAGCCATTCAGAAACAAGGAAACATCACGGCAATAGCAAATGTAGCATCACAGATGTCCTCCTGTGGGCCACCCTTCATGTGCCGAGCATCACTTAGAAGATTAGCACTACAATCACAGCTTCCCACCAAAACTGCATGGGAGGATGAGGCCACCTATAGCCATTCATGGACTGACAATGACAAGGCCAGAGAAAGAGTTATTGGGGTTTTAGGCAAGCAAAATCCAAGAGGATGCTTAAAGAAGTTTATCTTTCAAAGGCATAATGGGCCCAAGTTTACTATTGGTGTAACCTTTAAGGTGAAGGAAGTGGACACTGGCAGAAAATACTTCAAGCCCGCATTCTTTTGACAAAGCAAACTAGATGTGAACAACACATTGAGATTTAAGTAAGGCAATGATTTATAGGGAAAAAGAACATGATGGAACTGTTCAGAAAGTTTTTTAACACCCTCACAGGACTATAACATCACACAGACTAAGGATAAAAGTAATCAGCTAGCAAAATTTTGCCAGTCTTTAAATATATGTGTAACACTTCTGTTTCTTCAAAGTTTCTGCACAGTCTTCAATTTCTATCTTTTTCCTCTCTGCTCTGTAAATGCAGATATAAACAGAATTCTACTGGGGCGTGTCCAAAGAAGGGCAATGGAGCTAGGAAAGGGTCTGGAGCACAAATCTTATGAGGAGCGGTTGAGGGAGCTGGGGCCGTTTACCCTGGAGAAAACGGGGAACCTTATCACTCTCTACAAAAACCTGAAAGGAGGCTGTAGTGAGGCAGAGATCAGTCTCTTCTCCCAAATAACAAGTGATAGGACAAGAAGAAATGGCCTCAAGTTGCAGTGGGGGAGTTCAGATTGGATATTATGAAAAATTTCTTCCTGCAAAGGGTTGTCAATCACTGGAACAGGCTGTCCTGAAAAGTGTTTGGGTCACCATACCTGGAGGTATTTAAAAGATGTACGGATGTGCCACTTGGGGGCATGGTTTAGTGATGGACTTGGCAGTGCTGGGTTAAAGGTTGGACTCAATGAACTTAAAGGTTTTTTCCAACCTAAAGAATTCTATGATTCTATCTGGTCCTGCTCAGGTCCCCTTGGACCCAGGTTGCCTAAGCCTGTTTTCAACATCTCTAAGGTTGAAGGTCCCACAACCTCTCTGATCAACCTGTTTCAGTATTTCACATCAACGTTTTCAGTGACAAGTCCATAAAAAAAAAAATGCAACTTACAGATGACCTGTAAATTCCCTGTGCTTCCCAAAGAAGCATAGCCCAATTTCTCAAATTCTCTACAAGTGATGGAAATGCTTTGGGCCAGTCAAGTGGAAGGCCACCCTGTAGTTTTCTAGCTGTGACAAGCCAAGACACAAGGAAATCCAAAAACACAGAGCATTCTGCTGGCATTCAAGCTGCACATGTTGGATGTGGAGGAATAAAAGCATTGGTGTGGAGAAACTTAAAATATAAATTTACAACTTTTTTTTTAAATGTTAAAGACAAACTCCATCATCCTTAATGCTCCATAAAGAATATAGGAAAAAAAAGCTGCATGAATGAAGAATCCCACATCATCAATGAAAAAACAATAATTTGCTTCCACATCTCATATACTTTCTGAAATTCTGTATGTGATAATATCTTGCTGAGAGTAAGAGGATCCCTACAGGACATCAAATCTACTTTGACTAAAAATCTAGGTTACTGAACACATCTTGCCTGGTCTATTCTTGATATCTAATTTCAAATCTACTAAGGTTATTAAGTATAATAATAGTCAATATTCATGTTGTATAATATTCTCATACAACTTATTTCAATACTGATTAAGTTTAAATCCCTCGAACATAAATGTCCTAAAAAATTTAAATAATGCACTAAAGATATTAAGTATATTGAACCAGGAAGTTTGTTTATTTCATTGTATTAAATCTGATAAAAATATTCAGAGTACTGCTGACACAAATCAAGCCAGGAAAAATTGTCCATTTAAGAAATAATAATACTTTTCTCAAAGACACTGCTGACTAGGAACGTAGCTCATTTTTAACTGCTTTTGCACTAAATATTACATTATAATCAGATTATTTAGGAAGCTGTAAAAATTTCAGATTTATTTGCATTGAGTTCACTGTGAATAAGCCTGAAATAAGAATCATTACAGGCTGAGGCAATGACTTCAGATACTTATACTCAGCGATGGGAGTGAGAAAGCAAATTATGAACACATAGTTTTAGTGATCTCAGTGTGAAATAAATGTGTTGCCAAGTTGACTGTTACTGAATCCTAAAATTGTTCTTCATTATAAAGAATGTACAGTGTGTTACATTATGTGAGAGGTGAAATGGCAGCCTAATGTATCTGACCGCTTTGTAACACCATGCAAGCTCTAATGTCATCTCCAGACAAAGATGACCAACTTTTCCCACTCCAAAAATAGAAGTTGCTTCTGATCAAATTCCTTGCAAGTGGGTTTAAAAAATATGTTTAAAAAAAGAGAGCAACCACTTGTACACAGAACTAAAGTGGAAAATAATTGTGCATTATTGATGGAAATGGTAGCAAAACAGAAAAAAACCAGTACTTTAGATTCCAGATGTTTCTAATTTTCTAGGTATTCACAAAAATAAAATGGTCTTATAATAATTTATCAAAATAGTTACTGTTTTACCAAACTTAAACCTGCAAATACAAGCAGTGGAGGAGATTGCTCATGCAAATCCATGAATTTAGAAAAGCATGCTGTTTAATCACCTGACAACTTTTGGCATCTACTTCTAATTGTGCATTAAAAAAACCAAAACAGAAAACAAAACTATTTCATTAAAATGAAAATGGTGCAAATTGTTTATAAGAACAAAAATGGATGGAATACCACAGAAGACATTTTTTCCACTATGAGGTTTGTTGGTCTTGGATACAATAGCTAACTGACAGCTCTGGCCTGTAAAATTTGTGCTTCTTCATGAAAAGCAAATTACATAATAAAAAGGCTTTTGACAGATGATCCAAAATCATCAATAACATCTTTCAACTTGATTACGTATGAACTATTGTTATAGCCCATATTAGCTCACCATCACACAACTTTTGAAAGTAAGATTGAGTGAGATTCAGAATGGTGAGATTCAGAAGCAACAACGAATAGGAAAATGCACAGAGGTTTCTGAATTTTTTCTCCTGAATTCTGTACACAAAATGTCAAGTGTAAGGGAACCTTACTCCAGATGACAGATTTAACTTTACCGAGAAGTTTAATTATTGTTACAACTTTTGATGAAATTACTACAATACCAATACAGAATGTGCTCCCATCCTATATATTTTATAGATTTAAAATATTTTTAAGATATGTTAAAACACAATACTGAAGCTGAATTAAAGCTTTTAAAGAGACAGATATTTAAGTTCCTACTTTCTGAAAAACCATAAAAAATTCAATTCATTCCACTTTACAGATGTGAATTTCATGTACCTCCATCTTT